ATTATTATTATTATTATTATTATTATTATTATTATTATTATTATTATACCTGATTCAAACGAATATAAGTATTGATTGTTAGACTTATCGATGTACTGTATTACATAGACTAATGCATTTTTACGTTTCTATATTATATAATATGTACTATCTAGTTTACGTGACGTTTTATATTTTGTAAAGACATTTTGTAGCATGTTTCTTAAACATTGTTTATCATGTGGATCATTGTAAGCAAATTTTTACGATTTATTATAATTATTATTATTATAACATTATAAAATTTATGAAAATCACATGGGTGTTTTTTTATTTTATTTCTATCGAGCTAAAATCTACATTTCTGTAATATTCGTATTTTTACACCAAACCAAAAGCGTTGTTCGTTACCGGTCCGTATGCGTGGACGGGAAAGCAATTAGAAATAGCTTTTACTGATTCTTGATTTCCATTTATTACACATTAACTCTGTTTTGTCAAAAATAGTGTACTCTTAAGAAGAAAAACATCTGAAAAATGCCAAAAGAATATTTACTTTTATACATTTCAGTGGTTTAAATCTTGTATTGTCAAATTTAAAATATTAAGGAAAATCTTTATTTGGACATTTATTACTTCGACAGTATATTTATTCATTTTTAAATAGTTTAAATTATTATTATACATTACCTTATGACTTACTGTCCTCAGTAAAAAATTCTAAAAGCCAAACGGTTTAAAAGATATTTCGAGATACTTTTGTATTTTATGAAAAGAGTATTAAAAGTTTTAAAAACATATTTGGACAGTTCATGATAGAAACCGTTTAAATCATAGCGTTTGTAGATAATTATAATATTGTTATACAAGAACGATATATCATCCAATTAATACGATATCATTGTTATTGGATGAAGATATAATACTAAAAAATAAAAAATAATTAATTAAGGAATTATGTTTGTAATACCATGATGAACAATTGAATGGTTTTATTTAGGAGTCATAAGTGTTATATTATACTATATCGTATAAATTACGAGTATATTGTAAAATATTGTTCCTTTTGTAATAGACACGTTTCTATGGACGTCATTATATCAAATCGTATTTAAGTATACAAATCACATTCAGCAGTTTTTCGTTTCTAAAAATAAATAAATAAGTCAGGGTCTTGCAAAGATAATTTAATCGTTTATATTCAAACTATACAATAATTATGTTTATTAATTATTATATCACTAGCGTTTATGAATCTTCCGTATTGTTTGAAAAAAAAAGAAAATCTAACCATTGCGAGATGGTGATTTATAAGTTTTTTCACCTGATGTATATTTTTTTATTGTATATAAAAATATTATTGACAAAGCTAAAAAGAAATTTTTTGATTTAACTCAAATGAGTCGAAAAAAATAATCCTAGTTTAGTTTAGTACTATAGATGAAAAATATTTTTAATTAATAGTTGATTAATTTACAATTAATTAGTTGAATTAATATATTTTTATTTTTTTTAATCAATGCCTGTACCATATGAAAATAATGGTTTCAGGTATTTTTAGGAAATAATTAATCGTATTATTATTATATTCATCTTAATAATGTGAAATGCAAAACATTTATAAGTGTTTATCGTTTTTTAAAATCGCTCTGGGACAATGTTCGAAAAAAAAATTATTTCTTTGTTATTTTGATATGTTAAAATGTGATTTCGTTTTAACTCAATTGATTAATTACGTAAACTTACTTAAGTAGAGATATACTTTTACAACGTTGCAAACTATTAAATAAACCGGTTAAGCTAAATTATTGAATAATCTCAGTCCAAAAATTGTAAAAAAAAAACAACAATACTTTCTTCTTCCTGATTATTGTTCATCTTTAAACGTACAATATTATATGTGCTGGTCATACGTGAGATTTTATTATGCCAGATAATCATAATTGAGTTCTACGTATGTATATGTTACGGTCAATGAAGAAAAGTAATAATTTACGTAATTTACTGGTAAATATCGTTAGTATCCATTTTTAGTTTATATGAGTAGATTTTTACCACAACTACCAGGAATTTACGATAAAAATTTATACAAATGGTTATTGTTGTATTTATAACATATATTATTAACTACTTATTTTCATATATAAATGAACTATGCTATTTTGAATTACAAAGTTTGCCTGAAGAACGACAAGCACATTTATTATTTTTACATTTAGTTTTGCAGTGACATCGTTGGTACCCTTGAGTGCCTGAAATGCTGCTTAAACCAGCTGCCTCTCGAAGTCTAAGCTCTTTCTCTTTGGTGGATTTAGGTCTGTCGAAAAGTAATCATAATCAGATATTTTGCGCGAAAACATATTTATTGATATTAGAAATCTACCTAATGTAAAACTGTGCAGCGGAAAAATATAAAAGTTGTGTTATAGTCGAATTTTAGTATTGTACAAAACATTTACCAATTTGTTTAGTGAATATTGCAATGAACCGGTAAATATCGAAAATCTCCATTTTGCATATATGTTTACGATAATTACCGGATAATTACTTAATTTTCATGTTTTAATAATTTACCGCAATATATATAACAATGACAAAATTATTTAAACGTTAAATGAGTAGCATTTGGGAAACATATTATTTCGAATAAGCAAATTGGTACATTAACGTGTTGTAATCCCGATAATCGTGTCGTAGGACTAACCCGTTTTGTGTTTTGTTACTGTCAAAGAACAAATCCAGTCCATCTGACATAATGACCCCTCAGAGTTGAAATTTAACGCTATCGAATTAAGATTTCAATTATCTTGTAAGATTACAACTATCAGAATAATAAATATAATATGACTAGACGCAATGGAACTGGTTGTAACTTACACTGCGCATTATTTAAGTAAATATATAAAAAAATAGGGTCGCCAACCTATTGGGCGAGACCATAAGGTCGGACCACAATAGGATTTTTTTAAAAAAATACCGCGTTAATCAACGAAGTTAACTTGGCATTTTTTTTGTAATAATTAAAATTTAATATATATCCGTGGTGTTGCTCCATTACCACATAACAGTCGATTACATAACATGAGGGATGGTCGTTGAGGAGACCGTTGCCCGTACCTTAATTACTAAAGATTTTTGATAAGTATATATAAAAAATTCGTGACCCCGTTAAAGACGAAGCACACAAGAAAAAGACAATTTTTCTTAAAGTTGAAAAATTAATATAAAATTTTATTTTAAGATAATATTTTATGTTACTATGAGGCAAAAAATCGAGCGATTAAAAAACCTCATCTAAAATTAAAGAAAAGAAAAAAATAAATATATTAATCAAAAAAAATAATAATATGTTTTTAAATTTAATGCGATGAACGCCTTCGGGTTACTCGTCCCGGATTTTTCTGTGATTTTCCATCACATAAGAATTTTAGCAATATGAAACGGGGCGGATGGTCTGGTACACATTCGTCACCGTTGTATAATTTAATAATCAATAATAATAAATTTGGCTCATACATGATAATACAAAATATACATTACCAGCCCCGGAGGGCTATAGAAGCTGCGGCCCAGTTTGGTCAACGCCATAAAAGAAATTACGTTTTGGTTGGTGTATAATATGATATAATAAAAACTACGGTTGCTCCGTACACAACCGGCGACAAAAACGGAGTGACTCTTCAACTGGCGACCTCATCGTATCAGCAGAACCAATATTGAAAATAACAAAAAAAAACCATCTAATTAAATATTTATAATTGGCCGATACGTGCAGTGCAATCCGTCGTGCAACAGACATACGGTGCAACGGGGTGAGTGTACACACGAACGTCATCCGTCGACCAAATTGACGATGTAGCGACACAGATAAGACCTCGCACGCGCAACAGAGAATCAGAAAAATAATTGGGGCCTCTCCGTGTGTATAGATTAAAATACACATATAATAATATCATTTTGTCACTTTACAACATTTGACATTTGTAATTATTATGTAATACTATCATAGACTTACTTGCGAATGCGAAAACCTCGAATTTCAGCCGAGTCATTGATTCGGTTTACTCATATTTAGGACTCCTACTGTTTCATATCAGGGTTTCTGTGTAGGTACACTCACCAAGTACAAACAATCGCAGTTTTCGGTGACTGACGTAAATTTTCATTTGAAATATTTATACACGAAGTTAACAGGAGTTCGCGGTAAGAAATGGTACAAATATTGTCGTTGATGTACTTATATGTTTGTTTATTACGTATTTTCGGGCAACTTTAACCCGTGACGTTTAGAATAATAAATAAATCTTCTCGAGTGCGACGAACAAATTTATTTATTTACTGTTGCGTTTCGTTTTCCAACAGCATCTTTGAAGTCTGGAGATCAAAGATGATGTACTAC